ATATAACATAGTTCTTGATGATTGAATTATTATTTAAGTATTGATTAACATGCTTATTTTTTATTGATGACATCAAGTGATTTGCAAATATGATCTAAAAGGTTGGTCTACCTAACATTACTCTGTGTGTGTGTGTGTGTGTGTGAGTTCATTTTTGCTCACTCCACCTGACTGAAGGTGGCCGTTGAAACTTACCACCCCTCCAAAATTTGTCACGTGTCTATTTTTTTTTCTCTTTCTAAACAAACGATGTTAGCTACATTAAAGGGTGGGAGAGTGCGCTAAGCCTCACAATGGGTTAACAATAATATGGTTCAAATTCGCCTTTAGCGAGAATCGAACCTAAAACATCTTACTTAAAGGTCAAGAGGAATATCCTAGACCGTAGTACTAAGTGGCATCACATGTCTATTTAATAACCTATTATTATGTATGCATTTAATGAAAATTTGTGTGAAAAAAAACTAATTAAATGAATTAAAAATAATAAAACTTACCATTTCTTCTTTTTTTTTTTTTTATTCTCTCTCCTTAATTAATAATTGATTGCAATCTTTAATTTTTCTCAACCAGTCCTCATTCCTATAGTCCAGTAAGAACAAAATATTAAAAATAAATGTATCACCGTTTTAGTGTAGATAATATCGTTTATTTAAACAAAAAAAAAAACTAATGCCCCCACCATAGCAGAAAAGAAAAGGGAAAAAAAAACCGAGATGTCCTATAACAAAATTGAAGAAAGTAATACTTCAGTGCTTGGAATAAGATAGAAGCTAGGATAGGTGGAAGATGTGATATACAATCAGCCTCGTTGATGTATTGTTCCTTTGGTATGGGGTAGTTATTCCTTTTCTTTTTCTGCTATGGGGCGGGCGTGAACTTTTATTGTAAAATTTTGTTCTTACTGCAAATAATGGCGAAGTCAAGAATTATTAGGAGAAGAGACAAAATTTAAAACGATAAAAGGTCCTTAAAAAATATAAATAACCAAATTCTAAACATGAAGCTATTATTCTAATGTCATGTTTAAAAATCTGTTATCAGGTATTATTGCAATTAGTAAATCTCAAACACAACACACAAACACAAATAATAACATCCCGAACCAAAAGAACAAAACCGTGAAAAACATTAAAAACTGAGAGACAACATATATATGACTAAATATTAGAATGAAAACGGTACTTGGAGACTGAAAGAATAGAAAGAATGCATGTAAAATCAACATGTGAATTTTCATGAAATGCTAAAATGCAGATCCATCAGTCATTGACATGCATGCCCTTGGAGCACTTGAGAAGTTGGAAATTTCATCAAGATTAGAAGCGGCTTATCCAATTGATACAAATGCAAGCTGCTGGTCAACTCTGCCAAAGAAACAAACAAAATACCTTTTTTTTATCTTAAAAAAACAAAAAAAACAAAACCCAACAAGCAGAAGAGCAGAAATATTAAATATTTGGAGAGAAAAGGAAAAAAATTAAAATGGGGATGGACCGTGGTTGTTGGTGTTCATGAACGCCATAAGAGATCTTAGCAAATGGGGGGTCACAATCACAATTACAATCACAAGAATCCATGAAAGGGTGAGAAGAAGATCGTGTTGTTGTGGGCGTGGAAAAGTAGAAAACCGAATCGTTCCGTGCAGGTTTAGAGGAATCAAAGAGGCGGATTCTCGCTCTTAAAGCCGATTTTCAATAACCAGAGATGCGATTACACCTCATTGCTCCTATTTGGCTTTGCCACTTCGTGAAGACAATATAGGGTAGAAGGACTAGATGAGAATGTGAAATTAAAATGCATGGATAACCATAATTTGTTAAATAAAAACGTGGCAAAATATTGGAGGGAGGGAGGGTAGCGATCACCTTGGGTTGGGGATAAGCACAAAAATGTTACAGAGATCACATTTTTAAATATTGGTGTATTAGAGCTCGTTTGGATGTGCTTTTAAAATGACTGAAAACGCTTTTAGAGAAAATGTTTTTGGATTCAAAAAGCACTTCAATTATGTGCTTCTTCCAAGAAGCACTTTAAGCGCTTTCCCAGAATTTACTTGCATTTTTACCAAAAATTAGTTCTAAAAACATTTTCACCAAAAGCGCTTTCAGTCATTTTAAAAGCACATTCAAACGAGCTCTTATTTGATGTGGCAAGTGATATGCACTGTACATGCCAAGTCAATTAATGAATTTATCTCATTGAATGTTCCTTGTATACATCAATTTTCACATTAAATAATACACCAACTAATGTCATATAAATTAAACATATATATCATGCTTTTTCTATTTATATTCATGAACACCTGTGAAAGATTAAAAAAAAAAATGTAATTAAAAGCAATAATCAAAGTTTGGATTCATCCATCAGTTTGATTCTAGTCCTCACAATGTTCCACAACTTCAAGAGATGGGACTGGAAGTCCGGACAAATATTGAACAACATAATTGCCAAACAATAGTTTAGTTTTATTCTCTTTTTGGAACTGGCCTACAAAACTATACGCGTCTTTTCTGATACAAAATATATTGGGAGAACACCACAAAACGTCTTACATGTGAATGCTCTTAATTAATTAACTGTGTTTGAAGTTTGATGTGTTTTAGAAGTAAAGAAAGTTGCGATTCCACTATAAAATCAAATAGCAATATGAGGAATAGTTCAACTTCTTTTAAGTTATTGCATGGTTTGGTCCCTAACTGATATGGGACTTTGTTCTTGTGTTCTCACACACCCTCAATCGTGGCGAATTTTCAAGTTTAACATGTGGACAATACAAATTGGATAACGTAAAGTCGGTGTGACTGTTAGCTAGGCTTCACAAGTAGGCTAACCTGCTCTTATACCATGAAGAATGTTGAAGTTCCACCATAAAATTAATTGGCAATAAAAAAAGTAAGTTCCACATCGTTGAGGGACCAAACCATGCAAGAATTTAGAGAAGTTGAACTATTCTTTCATACTGCAAATTAATTTTATAGTGACTTCTTCCAAAAGGATATGCAATTCTCATTGAGGTGAAACAATGCAAGTAGACTGGATGTGTCCGACAAAGGATATGCAATTCTTATTGAGGTGAAACAATGCAAGTAGACTGGATGTGTCCGACTAATTGCCACTAACAATACAACATGTGGGTCAACGTAAAAATCAGGTCGAACACAAAAACCACATGCATTGTCTTCCTCCATATATGTAGAACCAACTTAACTTAAGCATGTATCCTTTTTTAAAAAGGAGATTTTCCAAAACTAAGCTATTTGTCACTAATGATATTTATGGATATCTACTATTTACTGGGTCATATATTGTAAATTAGTAACTCAACTCAACCAATGATTATAATTAAGTCAAGTGTAATTTTTGTGTTTTATTTCATAATGGGTGACCAAATATTAACTGCAAGATAGTATGGGAGGCCAATATCAGATATTATCTGCATTAATAATTTTTCTTCTTCTTTTTCTTTTTTTTTTTTTTTTTTTGTTACAAGTTAAGAGAAATTCTGCAACGTATCATCGTATAAGATGTCTTATTTTAAGGGATGATTGAATTTGCTTGTGTATAAAATCTGTGCATAACATATATCGATGATTGAGTTTTGTATTTATGTTTATATATATATATATATATTCTTCCAAATCCTATTGTCATTCATTTGGTGAAACATTGTTACAATCAGTGTTTAAAATATTAATATACATGAACGTATAGATATGCAAATTTATAAAAATATTTAATTATTGACAATTTTATGAATATTTTAAACACAGATTTCAATAGAGTCTATCCATGTTTCTTGGGGCTGTTTACTTCTTAGATTCGGTTACTACCAGAACAATTATTTCTTGCTTGGTCTATTTGGTAAAATCATTTAATTGCAACCCAGCTTATCATTGTCATATGACCTGAACAATTCAAAGACATCAATGAATGTGGTCCTCTGCAAAATTGTATGAACACAGTCTCTCGAATTCTTACCAATCACTTCCAAGCAGTGTGCGGGTTTATGAAATTTACTTGACAGGAGCAACATTAAGGCTCTCGAACATTGATTTTGAAGAAAAATGTCTTAAATATTACCAACATTGATTAAAAAACTCAGTTGGTTAAGATATTCACTTATATCCGATGTCTTGAATTCCATTTCTCTCATTCCCACTGCATCGGCCGTATGTTGTATAAAAAAAACTTATAATGACGACTTCAAGCTAGCTCGTATGCCTAACCATGGACACTAGTTTGCTTCTTTGCCCGCCGTCTCAAAGGCATTTTGTTAGACACATTGCCTCATGAAGGTCGTACTCAAGGGATCTATCAATGTAAATATTAAGCAACTTCAAGGAAGTAAAAATGGTGAGTGAGGGCTATAACCCTCACGGCCCTAATGTGAATCTATATTGCTTATAACCTACGCATGTAAAGTTGAGTAAAGATTATTTGGTGGTAGATACACCAATCTAACGGATGACATTTTGGAGGGATTGGGTCGGCAACCCCAAAAGATGAAACTCCCAAGACATTATAGTATACCTACATTATAACAATTTTGTCACTTTTAGATTGAGAATGCATAAATCTTTAGCCTAATAAATACCAGTCAATCTGCATTTTATGGTTTTTTTTTTTTTATGTTAATAAGATGTAGGTCAGTTATGTTCAACAAGAAGTATGATTTTTTTTCTCTCCAAAATTTCTCTCCTCCTCTCTCACTTTTTTCTTTTTCTTTTTCTGTAAATAAGTGATCACAAGATTTTTACATACTTTAATTGTGACCATTCAAATAATGAATGGGAGGGAAAGAAAATTTGAAAGGGAGACTCCATTCAACAGATGCTTCTGCTGCCTAGAACCGTTACGTTTACGTCGATGGACGGGGGGAATTAACCTCACGTCCTCAGAGAAACCTGAGTCTCACAATAACGCGAAAATAATACCAAAAAATTCCACAAACAACAGCATAACCAGTCATGTCAAACTGCTAACCTACAGGAACAGAATCAAACAACCCTACTTTTAGGGTTTTACTTTCTCAATTCACGCACCACAAAAACAAAGGTTAAAAAATAACTGAAATAACTAGAATAGCTGAAACCACAGGAATTGGTCAAATACATCAAACGGTCATATATATTCTGTTTTTACATATTAAAATTCCAGCTAGGCTACTTTGGAAGTTGTGCATTGCATAAAATAAGGCAAAGTGATCTTGAAAAGATATGGTCTTTTTTTGGTCGGTTGCTATCTGTCGTTCTCTGTGTTCTTCTGCATCCACTGGTATTGCTAGCTTCCCTTTATTCATGTTCCAAGCTCCGACTCCAATGGAACTGATGAAAAAAACAACCTTAAGCCTTTGATTCATTTTCCATGTTTGGGTTTTCTTTTTCTCTGTTTTGGCTGCTTTCTTCTTGTCTCCTCACAAACTGGAAAGACCAATGAAAAAAGAAGAGTGCTTTCTAAGTTATATGAGTGAACAAGGTGGACAATATACAAAATTAGGGTACGCTTCGGTATTTTACACAAGGATTTTGGCGATCGGATCATTCATCAAGAATTCAATGACCAAGATCTAATCATCGGAGTATAATAGAAGTTTCGAACAACGATTAATTAATAAATACAAGTACATGGTACTTGTTTTAAATTGATTTAACTAGTTATCTTATCAATTTGTGTATAATTATGTACTTATTTTTTAAGTACGAGACAGGAAATGAGAGCCAACCATGTGCTGGTATGCTTGAGGGGCAGCTTTTTTGCCTTGTAATTAATTGAAAGAACACAAGTTGCTGTTGCTGAAACCAGATGGATTAAGAAAGCTTTGTCTTTGATCTTCCACATCCCACAACAAGCTCTCACTGTCCTGAAAATGATATATGTTTTGCCATGAACCTCAAGGTTAGAGAAATAGTATTAACTAATAATTCATTGAATAACATTTGTTCAAGTGATATTTTAAAAGGTAAATTGAAATTGGGTTAACAAATTAGGTCAGAAATATATACCTGAGAGAAGGTATTTGGCCTTTGAAGTAGAAGTGAAGCTGAACTGTCTAGAAAAGGACAGTTGTTATTTGCGGTGAAGGCGGCAGCGGTGGCGGTGATGTCGATGGATGTATCAGCAAAAGGTGTTGGCTGTGTTTGCACAGATTGATATGGTGATTCCATGCTACACAATCTCTGCATGGAAAACAATAAAAACCAAATTGTTATTACATTAGTACTTTTTGGTTCGTGAAATAGATTTTTTGACAATGAAAATCTCGTGTCTCTATTCCCATGAGATAAGAACAGAAGATTTTCATTCCCATGTTTGAAAACGTTGTGACGTGGGACTGTTCATAATTGATCCTTTTTAACTATGTACCTCTGGTTTGACCACCAAAGCACGAAGGTCCATTCCAAAGTCGTAGAACATTGGATTCGAAGAATCAAGTTTCATTGAGAGGAACTGAAAAAGAAAAAGAAAAAAAATTGGTAAAATCAAATGTTCAATAAAGATCATAAATTAACATGTGTGTGGATATTATATATATTTAAAACAGTACCTCCACTTGATTTTGTAGGGACTGAACATAATTGATAATTTCATCCAGCATGACTGCCCTTCCAGTTATCTAATTTATTTTAAAAAACCAATCACATGAATCTAGTCAGGAAAATTACATTATATATACATATAGGGTAAAGGCAAGTAAGCCAGAGAGAGCAGCTGGTGTTCCACCTTGTCACAGCCAGGAACAAGTCTTTGCAACATCTTCATCCTCTCACTAATTTTCTGTCTTCTTACCTAAGAAATAGAGAAAAAAAGAATACACAATTATGAGATATGATAAAATGGTGGGCACAATAGCAATTTTGGGACATGAACTGTTGGACATGTTTAATGAAATTTCATATTTTGTGTACCCTTTCTGCAAGGCTGTGACTATCTGTAGCCTGACCCCTCCTTGCTCTAACATGAATGTAGCCAGTTGGAGGTCCTTCTCTTGCTTTCACCTGGTCTTCTTCATCTGATTTAATCTTCTTTTCCTCATCTTTCTTGGTACCGCCATCAATCTTCTTTTGCTTCTTTCCCTTCTGCTCTTTAGTACCCTAATGGAACACAGCACCATTAAACACCCCACTCCCCAAATTCCTATCAATTAAGATTTTTTGAAGGCTCGTATATTACATGTATATATAATAGATTATGAAAATACCTTGGATTGAGCAGAATTGAAGGATGATCCAGGTCTGGATTTTCTCTTCTTGCCCATAGGAGTCACTTTCTGAGTGACCTGATCACCAATTTCAAGCCTATCCACATCCACAACAGTTGAGGACTCTGTGCTCTTGTTTTTGGTCACGGAAGGATCATTCTCATTATCACTAAAAGCAACCTTAGTAGAGCTATGATCCATAGTGCAGCTGCTTTCAACGGCTCTTGAATTATTATCAGCTTGAATTTCCTGGGTTAAAGGCGCAGATGGGTAAAAAGATTGAGAGAAGTTACTGTCAGTGTTGATGTTATTGGTAGTAGGAGAGTTGGGCAAGAAAATTGAGTCAAGGAGAGAAGGGTGGTGGGGATTTTGGTATGAAAAGGCTGCCATGTGTCCTATATCTGGACAGAGAGCTTTTGAAAAATTGGAAAAATGGTTGAGAGTGTTATACGAAAGAAAGTGATATATGGAAGAGAGAGAGAGAGAGAGAGAGAGAGAGAGAGAGAGAGCAAGTCAAGAAAAGTGGGTTTTCTGTGAGAAACTAAGTGGGAAGTGGCATATATAAAGATGAGGAGGGGGGAGTGGAGAGAAGGGAGACACATCCAACAGGTGTATAAAATCTTTCGGTAACTCATTCGCATGCAAATGTTTTCTCTACACCGGTCTTATCTCATCAATCCCTTTCTTTTTTCTCTCTTACTCTACATGAATATACATACAGTTGTGTATGAAAAGAACATAAAATAAAAGAGAAACAGAAAAAGATGAATAGCTGATAAGGATTGAAGCTTATATTATCAACTATGGCCATATATTATTTAAGGGTAATATTAAAATAAAATTCTTATTTAAATCATATTCGGTAAATTATATGACGTGATTGTTAGCATGCTATTTTAAATGTGTACTGGCGGGTGCATCTTTTGTATTGGCTATTTGGTTTAATGTGAAAATAGTATGTTACCAGCTGGGGCATCTTTTGTACTGGCTACTTGGTTAAATGTGATTTAAAATGTCCATGTACATGAGCAGAAACAATCGCACTATGCAGTCAGAAACTAAAAGCAACCGATCGACGGGTGTCATCAATGACAAAATATCACTATCAGTAGAAACAGAAATAAATAAGAAAGAGAGGAAACACTGAGCATTCACCGTTAATTTGCTTCTCTTTCTTCTGCAATTATTTGAGCTAAAGAGCTAGCTATGATGATGTTTTTCAGTTTGGTGAAGTACTGCCTCTGTCTTGAAATTATGGTCCAACGTTTTTTCTTGTTCTACCAAAAGCATATGCCTCTCCTAGCCCCTCATCCTTGCAATTGTACCTAGCTTCTTTTTTGAGATATTGGGGTTCATATTTGAAAGAAAAAGTTCCTTAGCTTCCAATAGAATTCGCATTGTGTTCGAAAACTTTTTAAACAAAGCATTGATCTAGAAAGGTGATCCATCAATCTAATGGTACAAACGCACTTGTATTTGTATAAGTTTCGCGAATTTGATCATTAATAAGTTGACCAAGATCATATATGGCTGAACTCTGTCACAGGGCTATACGGCATACACATTTTTACAAAGGGGTGCTGCTATCTACACTCATTTTCATCTCTCACATATCTGTCTTAATTTTCAACCGTCGGATGAATGAGTTGAAGAAGATCAATGAATAAAAATTAACAAGAGTGTGTAAGTGATAAAAAATGATGTATAAATAGCATTATCCTTTTACAAAACGGAAATTTGACTTCAAAAGAAAATTACGAATTTAATTTTTTCGGAAACAGGAGTACTGGTACTCTTTGTATCATTTGACATGTCAATCATTATATAAGCCAATATACACTCAGTGATATTGTTATCCAGAAATTAAACATGGGTCTGTAATTAGGGATTAATTATGACGAGTTTCCATAGTAGAAGCAAATTAGGACCACCGTCAATGCTATAGGTTCCCTATTCTTAGAGCATGTCCTTGGAGACTAAAGGTCCCCCATTAATCGTTTAGGCCATGTCCGACGAAGATTTAGGTTCCCTAGTGTTGGTCAATGTACACACAATAATATAGAAAACTTCGATCTCTACAGCGGTTAGCAGCACTTGTGGTTACCCTATTTTTGCATTGCGGGTCGATCAAGATTGTCACATTGTCGTTTGACAGGCATTTTTGCATGACAGTTGGGGCGCATGTATATCCGTCACATGTTGATATAGGAAGCCTTTAAAGGAAGGGATCCATATTTTTAAAAAAATATAAGAGCATCCTCCTGACCGTTAGATTTGAATTTAATGAAATCTTGTAGTTGAGATTCTGTGACCTGTGATTTAATCTCAACCACAGAATTTCATTAAAGTCAAATCTAACGGTCAAGAGGGGTATCCCCATTTTTTTTGAAAAATGGGGATCCCTTTCCTTAAAAGGCATGTGTTGACATATTTAAGATTTGATCATCCTTAGTTGCAAGTTTAAGTAAACTACATAACTCTAAAAACTAAAAGTGAGCATCATCTCCTCTTATTGAGTGTTCTAAAATGAGGCATAGGCACTAAAACAATTGTGATTTTTCTTTCTGCCACCGACTACCGTTTTGCGATTTTCAGAACATTGTTAATGAAAAATGTAATGTGACTCATTACTTAAAAGATCTTTAAAAAAATCACAAATGAATTAAGTCAATTGATTAAAACACTATACCTTCTTGCACTAGATTCATTAATTTAAATGTCCTTCCCATATAGATTAAAATAGTTTGGTATTTTTAGAAGAATCACAACATAGAATGCCTTTTGGCGATTAAAAGCGAAGTGCATGAACCAGAGTGCACAGGTAGGTACGTGTACATGTCACGTAAAAGTCTCAGTGTTCTTTTGCTTGCTCTTTTGGTTTCAACTTTGGAAGTACGATTTGTAGAAATTGAGAGGCCCTGAGGGGAACCTCTGTGTTTTCGCGTTCACTTCTCTCTCTGCATGTAAATTGAAAAAAGCATCACCATCGTCATCATGGATTGGGTTCGTGAATTGTAAGGTATCTTTAGGAGCTCTCTGTGCCATGCATACACTGTCATGAAGGGCATCATTCGTTCAGATTTTCTAATCATGGCCTTTTTTTCCCTTCATTTTGTTTTATTTTTATATTATAACAGTGGCCCCTTGTCCTCAGCAACGGATAAAATGTACAATCAACATTTGACCAAATAAAAAATATATATAAATTAAAAAAAAAAAAAAAAAAAAAAACCATTTACAATTATTGTACATGACCTTACCTTCATTATACAAATGGTACAAATATAAAAAAAATGTAATAAGTGTAATATTATTCATTTAAACTACGTATGTACCCATATATGAAAAAGATCTACGTAGTTTATACTGTTTTCACAATTTAACCGTATAAGTATATTAGGGGTTGTTATCCTTTTTAATTAATCCAATTTTTAGTTTTCAAAAATGATGAATATAGCTAAATTACTTAGCATCCCTTAATTTTAAATTGGATCCAAAAAAATACAAAACATGCACTTTAACATCCAAACCCGTTGAACAATATTATCTATTTACTAACTTGGCTCTTATTGCCCTACTTTAATCCTCTCAAAAGATTGGTGCGTCAGTAGTTGTTTTGATAGGTTTTGGTATTAAAAAATATAGTAGAAGATATCACAGTTTCCAATTGGAAATAATATATGTCTAAGAAATTTACACCCAATACTTTCATTTAGAATTTAATCTCCTCATCCTCTAATATGAAATTCGATCTCCGCCACTAAACCTTGCAAAATAGTTAATATTTCCGGTCGGAGGTATATTCTATAATGCTTTACTATTTTGATCACTTTATTTTCTTTATTTTGCACTAGAATGTAGCAAGATCTGCATAGTTTCACTTAAGTTAGTAATTTGCTTGCATTCTTTGACAAAATTGAACTCTCAACCTCATCATTTATTCGAACCCTATGGCCTATACTTCCATCCATCACTTCCTCAAGAAAAATATATCTTAAAAATATTTGTCGGTCTGAAACTGATCAATCTTGGTCGTCCACCTCTTTAAATAGCTAGTTTGGCCGGTTCTTGCTTAAGTATACGGGTGTGATCTTCAATTAAATGCACTTTGTTGACTAGCTAGGCGTACCTAGAAGCCAATAATAAAGATACAACTGGCAACAATAATATTTTGTGCACATTTTCATTGCTTTGTTTTCCCTTCTTCTTCTTCTTCCTCCAAAATAAACCTGCAGATGTCCCTTCAGACCAGCCCTTTGGATATATTTTTGCAATTTTGACTGGTTGGTGCTGCGTGGGTTCTGGTGGGTGCTTGTATATTGATGGTGGTAAATAGCACATCTATTGACTGTGACGAGTCTTTTACGCGTGAAGTGTGGGGGTCCTTGTGATATATTGTCACCATTCTCATATACTTTAGTACGTACCGCAAAAAAATACTATAGTCGGTGCATGTATACACGTTTGGCACCTCATAACTTTAAGAAGCCAAACTCATGAGCTAATAAGATCCGCAGAAATTCTCTATTATGTTCTGATGTATGAAATATACCGAATGGATAAAAAGTTGAACGTGCAACTAAGAATTCAATAATTAAGAATACAATGGCTAAGGATCTTAATGTATAGTATACACTAGTGCACACTAAAAAATTCCTAAGATCAAACTTTGGTTAATAATTGTTGAAGATAACATGAACATTGTGAATTGAGAAAGTAAAACATCATTTTCCATTGTGGAAATGCTCGACCATGGGTTATCGGAAGGAGAGAGTACTTTTCCACCACGAAGATGTCACTGTTACAATATGCATATATGTTGAGAGTATGAATCTCACATATATTAAAAAAAAATAAAAAAATAAAAAGATAATCGTATTCCGGTCTATAAAAATTTATAAAATGAATAAAAAGTTGAACGCCGGTTAAAAAGTCAATAACCGAATCCAACAGCCAAAAAAATATACATTGATGCGTAATAGAAAATCTCTAAAATCAAACTTGGAATAATTGGAGATGGAGAACATGAAAACTATGAATTGGGAAATTAAACATCGTTTTCTATTGCGGAAATGCTCTAGTAGGTCTTGGAAGTTCTACTGCATGGCTGTCATTAAGGAGAGAAGAACTTTCGTAAAACAACGACAATGTCACTGTATAATCTGCATAAATTCTCTTTACATTATATTTTGTTTACGTGCTCTAGCTACAAGCTAGTAGTCCATCATGCATGAAACAGCTTTAGTCTGCATGTGGTTGTTAATTAATTACCGATCCAAATGCAAGCTCTTTGGAGCAACGCATGTGATAGATTAGCTTATAATTAGCAATTATGTGTCTAAATCCTCCCTGGCTCTTATAATTATATATAGCTAATTAACTTAATATAATTTATACGTCGGCATGCATCTTCTCTGGCTCTTATATGTTAGTTCATGACTCCGTCGACTGTATCGCACAAATTAAGGACCTGTATGTAGCCATCTTCTTTCATAACACGAAGTTAATCGCATGGCAAGCTAGC